TTTCCTCTGTTTCCTTTTTTCTTTTTTTTTTTTCTTTCGCTCTCTTTTTTATTGTTGTTTTGTCTTTTTTTTTCCGCCCTCTCCCCCACCCCCCTCCTCCCTTCCCACTCCCCACCGCCCTTCTTTTTATTCCTCAGTACGTCGTTTCATCGTTTGCTCGTTTGATTCTTCGATTATTCAATTATTCCGTATGCCGGTTAGTTTCTTTTTATTTTTCTTCCTTTTTTTCTTTTCTTTTTCTTTTTTTCTTTTTTTCTTTTCTTTACTTCTTTCCTCTCCTTCAATTCTCATCGTCATGCCATAAATTTTTATTTCAACAATAATATCTTTACTTCATTTATGATTTTAACTTGTATCAGGTAGGTGATATGACGTAAAAAAAATTATAATAATTAATAATTTTGTGAAAATAATTACGTCTATAAATATAAACCGAATGTATTCTATAATATATGTCAAAAAATATAATAATAATAATAATAATAATAATAATAATAATAATAATAATAATATTAATTTAAAGTTAAATCGAAAATATGAAAATTCGAAATTATTTTATTTTATATTTCGTAATTATTAAAAGAAAAAAGAAAAAAAGAAAAAAAAAAAAAGGGAAAAAAATAAAAAAGAGAAAAGAAATTTGATTATACAACTTTATTGTATAAGTCGTTATTCTAATTAGCAGATTGTAAATTGTTCGTAGATTATTTTTTAAACATTTTATATTACGAGCACGTATCACGCATCTTGTTTTAACGAAACATCTACGCGCTTTCCAAAACTCTCAAGTACAATCGTCTTGAAACTTTATGCATATCGTTATGGTACGGCATCACTGTTAGAGTTCAGTACGCGAGTTGAAGAGTTTAGAATATACCATGCGAGTCACGTAAATATGTATATGCATATGTATATGTATATATATATATATATATATATATATATATATATATATATATATGTAAACACGTATATATTTTTGTACATGAGTATACGCGTATAGATAAATAAATATACGTCGTCAAATTATTTTATTTCATCATTATTTCTAACTATTGTATTATATATTGTATTATATATACGTATATATGTATATAATATATATATATATATATATATATATATATATATATGTCGTATGATTAATAAGTCGATTTACAAAATTAAAAAATTATATATCACTGACATTTAAATCATTAATATTATTTAATGATTAACACGATGTGATATTACCCTAATTCTAGAAAAGAATATTTTCATCGTATTAATGTTTACAATGAAAATTAAACAACATTGAAAAGAATTATATCGACAGATAGAGTTGTCAATGATTCGTCGATGATTCGTGAGTTTGTTTACAGAAATAAAAAACGAACGAACGAACGAACGAACAAAATAATAAATAAATAAATAAATAGAAAAGAAAAAAAAGTAATGATTCGACAATCACGTTCAATGGAGTATTGTCGTCAATGAATTCCGTGGTTAGTATGAGAAAAAAAGAGAAGAAAAAGAAGGAAGAAAGAAAGAAAATGGAAGAAAATAAGGAAAAATAAAGAAAGACAGAAAAACAAAAACGATCCGATGATTTACAATTCATCTACGAAGTTTTAATGTGTGTGTATGCGTGTATGTTCTGTACGTATGTACGTATGTATGTATGTATGTATATGTCGTCAATTGATTCACATCGTGTCGACGTAACAAGCTGCCTGATAATTAAAACTCTCACGTTGACGAATTACATCGTGGTCACGTAAATCATTGAATCGTTTTATTACTAGTCAGAATCATTGACAAATTACTACCTTCGTGGACACCCTATAAATCATTGAATCGTTTTATTGGTATATACTACGTGTATCACATTGACGATGATTCTATTATATTCTAAAGACAAAATTCTTCTCTTCGAAGTGCAATAACTGCGTGCATTGAATGCAACTCTCTCTCTTTCTCTCTCTTCTCTCTTCTCTCTTCTCGTATCTTGAATCTCGAATCTCGTATCTCGAATCTCGAATCTCGTATCTCGAATGTCAAATCTCGAATCTACTCCATCTCGTACACCTCCTTCATTTTCCACCTCTTTACAGGTTCTTTTTTTTTCTTTTTTTTCCTTTTTTTTTTTTCCCCCGTACCGATTGAGCGTTCAAGCGTTCAAGACATACGTCGCACGAGATTTTACGCCGGAAGTAGGGGTAAAATTTATCGTCACGAACGATATCGGATTTACGGGCAGCTTTGAGGGCAGTTTACGAGGGACTCGAAGTGCCACTCGAATTATTAAATCCCACGCGTATGCCAACGATAAAGTCATTCGATGCTTGTTACGAACTCGTGATAGTCAAAAATAGATATTTCACATGATATTATATTTATGTATATCTATGTATAAATATATATAAATATATATATATATATTATGTATATGTATGATATAATTATTATTATTATTAATTATACTATGAATGTATATTTTATAAGATATATAATATATTAAATATATATATATGTATATATATATATATATATATATTAACAACAATAATAATAATAATTTATTAATGAATATTCTATCAATTAATATTAATATTAATAATAGTAATAATAATAATAATAATAAAATAATAATAATAATAATAGTAATAATAAAAAAAAATTAATACTCAACATATATTAACCAATATCATTTATTTTTAATATAAATATTTTGAATGATTTATTTTCTTGATAATAGAACAATAATATACACAAAATACTCTAGAAAAAGCTATTAATAATAACAATAATAATAATGATGATGATGATGATGAGTAATCAATATTTATTAACAAATATCATTTATTTCGAATTTAGATGTATATATATATATATATATATATATATATATATATATATATATATATATATACGTATATTGGAACAATCTAGTTTCTCGATAATAGACACTAAATACTCGATGGACGTCCGGTGACAGATGAATCATCGACGCCTTGGACAAGAGGGGTACTCGACGATTGACTTCGATTCGATTCGAAGTTGGTGCACGGGGAGAACGTAGGAGACTTTAAGTGGGGAGAAAAAGAGGAGTAAGAGGAATAAGAGGGAGTAAGAGGAGGAGGAGGAAAAGGAGGCGTTTGCACGCTCCATAAACGATTAATGCACGGTAGCTCTTTACGTCCCGCGTGTCGAGCGTACGTTTCTCTCAACAAATTCACACGTGCGAGTTCGACTAAAGAATATAATCCACGTGTGTACATATATATATATATATATATATATATATATATATACGTGCACACACAGAGAAAGACACATTTATATATACATATGTATGTATTGCACGTATATACTCTACTATGTATATATTCTATGTACGTAGAATGTAGAATAAAGAAAGAAAGAGGGAGAGAGGGAGAGAGAGAGAGAGAGAAGAGAATGCAAAATCGTGATCACTAGATCGCTTTGTTGTTCACAATAAGGAACACGTTAAGTCCTGGGAAAGCAACGAGCACGATGACGATGATGATGATGAAGATGATATAGCTTCGAGGCGTGTATATACGATGACAGCGGGGAAGAAAGATGAGAGGGAGGATTTCTTATTGGCTACGAACGAACGAGCACGTTCTGAAATTTATATTCGTGCTTTGAAATAGATCCCCGAGTCTCTCCGAGATCTTCTTCTTCTTTTACTTCCTTCTTATTATTCTGATTCATCGGAACCCGTTCTCTCTCTCTCTCTCTCTCTCTCTCTCTCTCTCTCTCTCTCTTTCTCTTTCTCTCTCGTATTTTTTTCTTTTATGAATCTCTTGAGAAACATTTGAAAAGTACATTTTTCTTTATCTTCTTTATTTTATTTAAAATAAATAAAAAGAAAAAAAAAAAAAAAAAAAGAAAAAAAAAGAAAGATTAAGAAATATATAGATCTATAAGTTTTTATTTTTATTCATTTGTAATATATTTTTTTCTTTTAATCATTAGAATTATTGAAGCTTTAAATTAGAACTGGTCTTATTATCTTTTAATGGAATTCATTAAATTCCAACAATATCTTTTAATAATGAATTATTTGCAGTATATATATATAGATATATATATATGCGAGATTAAATGCCACGTGCCTTTTTTCGATAATCATGTATTATGGTGCCACTTAACGGCAAACCAGTGAACTAAATAGAAAAATATAAATTATCGACATAAATGTGCTCTCATGATAATGAAAAAATTTTTGTTTTTTGTTATTAATTATTTTTATCCTATTCAATTCTTACGCAATCTGATTTATAATTCCAGAATAATATGATTATCTTTATAACATCGTTGCATACGATTTTTTAGGATCAGACAGATTGAGTGGACAAATGGATAATAGTCGGTAATAGTGGAGTTCTATTTTATCTACCGATCCAATGGATGATCCTATGAGTTTTGATGACTTCTTTTTTTACATAGAAAGGTCGGTAACAAATATAATAGTGGATTCTCTGTTTTCGAATATGTAGGATATGAATACTAGCGCTATCTAGTATTTCATTGATTAAATTAATTTTAAAAATATATCTCTCTTATGGTAATCAATATTTAAAAATTCTATAAGAAAAAAGCATTATAATTACATCAATATTTATCTATTAATATTATTTAATTAAATGTTTCAGATAGTATCAAAATTTTTTTTTAGATTCCCATAATTTTTATTTACGAACAAAATCTCTCTCTCTCTCTCTCTCTCTCTCTCTCTCTCTCTCTATATATATATATATATATATATATATATATATATAGACGAATATAGGTATATAATTAAAAAAAAAAAAAAAAAAAAAAATAAATAAAAAAAGAAAAAAAACAATATAACAATAATTATTAACTATTTCGATAAAAGATAATTGTACAATAAGTTATAAGAAACAATTTAATACATATATACATAATTTAAGTTATAAAAATGGATCGTACGTAGAAGATTTTTCAAGTAGTTAATATTTTTTTTCTTTTTTTTTCTCTTCTTTTTTTTCTTTTTCGTTTTTTTTTTTTTTTTTTTTTTTTTGAACAAAATACGATTAACAAATAGGATCGATCAGATGCGTTTGACTAGCTCGATAATAGTTAGACAACGCGATAATAATTGGAATAAATAGATCATTATAAAATTAAAAATAATATCAATATAACGATCACATTGTTACATGGTCCGATGATACGAGTTGCGAGACAATTTTAAAACTGATCGAAAATCGAGAAATTTTTTAATAACGCGATATAAAATGAATGATATTTACATTCGTACGAGTTATTATAAATAAAAATTGAAAAAAAAAAAAATAAAAAAAAAACAAAAAAAAAATAATAGAAAATAAATTGACGTTGGAGAAAATAGCGAGTAAAAAAATCTAATCTCGTTGGTTGATTATCCTTAGAGTTTTTCACCGCTAAGATTAAGTACGTTGTAATAAGAGTGATCGGGAAACCTATCTAATTCTATGTAATCAGTTTCGTCGAGTAATAATCCTTCTGTTAAACTAACGAGCTCGGTGAAGGACGGCCTACATGCTGGATCCTTATCCCAACAATAATACATAATATTATACAATTCGCGTTTGCAATGTTCTGGTCTGTCCAATCTGTAACCCTCTTTGATTCTCCTCATCACCTAAAAAAAAAAAAAGAAATAAATAAAATAAAATAAACATATAAAGAAAAAAAAAAGTGGGAGAATATAATAAAAATAATATGTCAATCTAAAAAGGAATAGAAATAATTTTAATCACCTCAGCCGCCGCTAATCCAGGATATGGTGTAGATCCTAACGTTACGATTTCCCAAATGAGAACTCCAAAACTCCAAATATCCGACTTCACCGAAAATATATTATCGTATAAACTTTCAGGGGCCATCCATCTTATCGGCAATCTACCTTCCGATTTTCTTTCGTAAATCTCATTGGCGGCCATGTCTCTGGCAAAACCAAAATCTGCTACCTTGCAGGCACGATTCTCATCGATTAAAACATTACGAGCCGCTAAATCTCTATGGATGATACCTTTCGATGCCAAATGTTCCATTCCTTTAGCGATCTAAAAATAATTAATGTAAAGGATTTTTATTGAACATTGATAAAATAGCTAATAATCATAATAAATGAATAATAATCAAATGGTATATTTACTTGATAAACGAATCCAGTAAGATCTCTCGAAGTTAGACCAGGTCTACCATGATTTCTTTCTTCTCTCGATGCTCTTAGAAAACTTTGAAGTTTTCCACCACTTACATATTCGAGAATAACGAACATTGGTTCACGTTCCGTACAACAACCGAGTAATCTAACGACATTAGGATGGGGTTCCAAACTCTTCATAACTCTTAATTCTTGTGCCAAATCGAGCCTTTCCCTTTCGGTAGCATTTTCTTTCAACGTTTTAACAGCCACAATCGTTGCACCAGATTTACCATCGATATCCAATGCTTCGCATTTCCAAACTTGACCGAAACAACCCTCTCCGAGGATATTGAATACCTGATAATAATACAAATCGATTATTTTTCAAACGTTTAACACTGTCATTGATTTATTGATCAATGTATTTCGTTAACAACGTTAAACATTAGATTGAAATTGGATGTATTAGAAATTATCTAACCTTCAATCTATGTCTGGGAAATTCCCACTTGTCGTCTTGCTTGTTTAAAATACCATTTTGATTTTCCTTCTCCCACGCCTCGTATCTATTATTGTGAGCCTTTGGTCCTCTCCAACGTTTCAATACGAGTGACGGATCGTCGGATATATTTGATACGCTTACTGAAGCTTGTTCTTTCTGTAAAAAAAAAAAAAAAAAAAGAAAAAAGTAAGTACGATTTTATATCAATTATAACATAACGGGATCGAGCATCAGAAGAAAAAAAAAAGATAGATAATTATTCTATAATAGTATATCACTGGCGATATGTTTAACGGTGCGTCGAAACAATTGTTATCTATGAATGAAATGATTCAATGATTTATTCAGTACTTAAATATTATAGATTAATACATAATAGTGAAGTACACGTCGATTATTACAGTCGTCGATTATTTATTATTCAATTTTACCGAGCGTAAAAAAGAAATCATATATTAGTATTTAATAAAGCTGCATTAATATAGAGGGAAATGTATTATGTATAATGTAGTAATTAATAGAAATTGCAATTTTCTGATGAACATGTGTTAATTATTCAATCGTCAATGATACATATAGTGAAGCAATACATTGAAGAAGTATATATGTATGATATAATTCATAGAAAAATATCGATATTGTCAGGTTATTAAACTTTATTAAACTTTATTAAACTTTAGCAGGATAATAAAAAAAAAAAAGAGCCATATATTTCTATGAAAAATCTATAGTGATATAGCTGAATGTATTTGTATAATAATTAATTAATTGGAATTGTAATTTTCTGATGCACAAGTAAATTATATGATCTTCAATGATTCTTACAGTGTTTAGAAATAAAACAATTCATTGATTTTTCAATTCTTGAATTAAATATGTAT